TGTCCTGTGATTAAATGTTGGCAGAATCGACGCACTGAATCCCAAGTACTTCCAATATACATTATGTCTTCAGCCTCACAATAAATACCATATATTAATGCTTGTCTTTTTTTTTTTTCTAAGAAAAAAACATGATATTTATAACGGAATTGATCGATATTACGTGTAATGTGTAAGTTATCATATTTAGCAATAAATGCTGGTAGTGAATTAATCATAGTCATAGTTATAGTGTTAATAATTTTAAACATACTCTACTACTCAAATACATTGGATTAGGTGTTGGCGGAGCTATACCAACTTTTATATTAGTTTAGGATATAAGAAATAAAATACAAGCCAAATTAGTTTAGTAGTAAAATGTCTATCTTGTAAATAGATGTCCTAGGTGCGATTCCTGGATTTGGCAATGCCAACAAAAATATTGATGCAGATTAGTTTAGTGGCCCCCATTAATATTTAGGGGTAAGTAGCAGTCTTGTGTTCAATTTACGGATTTGGCATGATACCTGTGGGTCATGGTCTAATGGCATGACGAAGCTTTTTGGTAGCTTATGATACTTGTTCGAATCAAGTTGACCCAGAAATATAATTTAGCAAAGAGCTACTCAGATTATTTCCTCTTTAAACTAGTTTCTATTATACAACACGAATGTAAGCTAAAGGTTGTTACCTTTTATGCATAATATTCACCCTCACCTTCTTTATATTCAACTGAGTAAGGATAATTAAAATGGGTGCTTAGCTCAGTGGTAGAGCGTTGAGCTTTTAACTCAATGGTCGGCAGTTCGACCCTGCCAGCACCTAGTTTTTTTCAATCAAAAAAATGATAAGTTAGACACTTAAGTTTACAATTATGTAATTACCTCTTATTTTCACAAAATTCTAAGGACAAGTCGCCTACTGGCAGGGGTAAACTGATTGCTATTCAGTATACGGCAAAACCGTATTGTAGGTTCGAATCCTATCTTGTCTGTAAATAATGATACCCTTTTTCTTTTTTCTTGTTTTTGTTTTCTCTCTCGCAGAGAGAAAAAGTAAAAAGAAAAAACAAACTAATTTACATTTACAGTTAAACTAGTAACTTTCTTATATTTTCATTTTTAGAAGGGGGAAGTAAATCATATTAGTATGGTGCAATATCAAAGGCAACTAATAAACTAGGTACTAAGATAATTAATGCAATAACTACTGGAAGAATAGCAGTCCAACAAGCTTGCATCAGTTGATCGTAACGTAACCGTGGCAGAGTCGCTCGGAACCATACAAAAATGAAACAGAAGATACATGTCTTCAGTGCTAATACGATACTTTGAATGTTAATAAATGTATCGTTAGGAATAATTTCAGGCATAATGTAACCACCCATAAATAAAATAGAACTGAATGCACTCATTAAAACAATACTACAGTACTCAGCAAGGAAGAAGAATACAAAGATCATTCCACTGTGCTCTGTGAAGAATCCAGCAACTAGCTCAGACTCAGCTTCAGGAAGATCAAATGGTGTACGGTTAGTTTCAGCCAGAACAGAAATGAAGAAGATAATGAAAAGTGGGAATAATGGAATTAAGAACCAAACACTTTGTTGGCTCTCAATAATAGTTGTATAGTGGAATGTTCCTGTTAATAAAATTACAGCTAATACAGCAGAACTTAGAATTAACTCATAGCTAATCATTTGAGCTGTACTTCGTAATGATCCAAGGAATGCATACTTTGAGTTAGCTGACCAACCAGCGAATAATACTCCATATACACCAATTGATGAAATAGCTAATGAGTATAAAATTCCAAGACTAAAATCAGATAAAGCTAAACCACTACCAAATGGAATAACAGCCCAACCTAGAAGACTGAAGATTAAACTAATAATAGGTGCTAAGAAGAATAAACTTCGAGTAGCGTGTTGTGGTACAACAGTTTCTTTAACTACCAGTTTAAGAGCATCGGCAAATGGTTGTAACACTCCATAGTATCCAACTACATTAGGACCTATACGTCGTTGCATACTAGCAAGAACTTTACGTTCAATAATAGTCATAAACGCTACTGATAGTAAAATAGGCACTAATACAATTAATACTTCAAGAAGACTATATAGTACAGATAACATGATAATAGGTTTATAATACGATTAAATATCTAGTTTTCAGTTTTCTTATTTAATTTATTTATTTAGTTACTTATTTGTTTTCTTTTTTTTTTCTTTTTCATCTATGATGAAAACAAGAAAAAAAACATAATAAATTTACTTTCCTCCCTTTTTTAATTACTTTTTA